CTACCTTCCAGTCATTAGGTACGGAAGCCTATTTAAAAGATAGGTTACAAACCACAGATAATAGCTCAGCAATTTCCCATTTTAGTTCTTTTAGAACCCTTGGATGAATGCCATCCGGTCCCAGAGATTTGTTAACATTAAATTTTTCTATTTGTTCCAAAACCTAATGACACTTCAATCCGGGACAGTTCCTCAGATTCATCACCCACAAAGGACGGTGCAGATTCGGGAATCTCCCCAACATCCTCAGCTGTGAAGACTGAAGCAAAGAATCGATCGTCTAGGGGACCCACAGGTTTTTTTAGCAGGCTTCCTGCTTCTAATGTACTTAAAAACATTTTGTTATTTCTTTTTGAGTTTTTGGCTAGCTGTTCCTCACAATTTTTTTTGCTTTTCTTATTACATTTTTACACTTGATTTGACAGTGTTTATGTTCCTTTCTATTTATCTCACTAGGATTGGACTTCCACTTCTTAAAAGATACCTTTTTGTCCCTCACTGCTTCTTTTACATGGTGGTTAAGCCACGGTGACACTTTTTTAGGTCTCTTGCTATGTTTTTTAATTTGGGGTATACATTTAAGTTGGGCCTCTATTATGGTGTCTTTGAAAAGTTTCCATGCAGCTTTCAGGGATTTGGCTCTAGTCACTTTGCCTTTTAATTTCTGTTTAACTAACCTCCTCATTTCTGTGTAATTCCCCTTTTTGAAATTAAATGCCAGGGTGCTGGACTGCTGAGGTGTTCCTCCCACCACAGGAATGTTGAATGTTATTATATTATGGTCACTATTCCCAAGAGGTCCAGTAACGGTTATTTACTGGACCTGATCCTGCACTCCACTCAGGACTAAGTCGAGAATTGCCTGTCCCCTTGTGGGTTCCTGCACCAGCTGCTCCAAGAAGCAGTCATTTAAGCCATTGAGAAATTTTATCTCTGCTTCTCTTCCTGAGGTGACATGTATCCAGTCAATATGGGGATAATTAAAATCCCCCATTATTATAGAGTTCTCTATTTTGGTAGCCTCTCTAATCTCCCTCAGCATTTCAATGTCAGTATCGCTGTCCTGGTCAGGTGGTCGGTAATATATCCCTATTGCTAATTTCTTATTATTGGAGGATGGAATTACTATCCATAGCGATTCTATGGAACATGTTGATTCACTTTTTTTTTATTTCATTTGATTCTACACTATCTTTTGTGACATTAAATTACAACATTTGATTTAGTCGAAGTTAATAAATGATATGTTTAAAATCTGAATCTAACATTCCAAAATTTAACTGTTTATAACTTGAAAACTTATTTGCACACAGCCAAACAAACACACTTACAGGTCCCTCCACCAAAGCTTTAGTACAGGAAGCACTTGAATAAAATAAAGAATTTATCTCAACAGTACTCTGAATACATTTTCATTGCTGTATATGGATTGGTTTTGACCACTTTCTCAGTAATCACATTTTCCATTGCACAGAACCTTGAAATAAGAAAAACTGATGCTTTGTTGGACACCAAGGTATAATTTTATATTAAAATGGTTCAAGTATTTAGAAAGTTGAAAAATTATACAAGTACTTTATTAATGAAAGAATTTTGCTTTAAATACACAGGTCAACTATGGCTAATCGAGAAAATATGTGGAATAGACCCAAGAAAACAGAGTATCTAAACACAGCTATAAATAATTAGGCATCAACATATATATCTATGAATCATGCACACTATTTTCTCCTGAATATTAGAATGTTATCATCTTAATCAGAATGTACACATAGAGCATGGGTTCCTCCTATCTATTCTGCTGTTAAACTCATTAAAATAACCTCACTGCATATTCTCTGATGGAAAAAAAATAATTAAAAAACCCAGGAAGTAGCAGAAACATCAGATGCCTTCAGTTCCATTTGCAAAAACAAAGATTAGTATAAACTTCCCTACGTTTATATTTAAAATATTTCTTTTAGCTGTTGTGTTTAGGAAGAGATTACTGGAATAGAACTCAAAATAAACAAACATAAGCATACCTTTTAAAAATGTAAACTGGCACTTTTATCAAAGAAAATTAATATCCTTTTTCACTTATAAAATGAAATTATGAATTCAACAGATCTTGTTAATGAGGCATTATAGCTATACATATAGTACAGCAATGAAACTGATGCAACAAACTTATCAGAATACTTTTTAAAATATAAAGCCAGATCTATTCCATTAGCCCTGGGAGAGGATGAAAAGGGCAGAAAAGCAGATGAATTTATTCAAATTCATCAAAGGAAGGGCAACTTAGTTAATGCAGCAACTTCCCCCTCTCCAACTACCAAAAATACCCTACAGAAAACTCCATTAGTGTTGTTCAACTTTGGTTCTTCAAGGCTCTGAAGTGGACACCAAAGGTAAGTTAAGAAGAAAATGTGTATCTGATTACAAAACTGAAAATGTGTCTTTTACTACAGCTTTTCCCCAACACAGGCTTCTATCTTGCTCTTCACTGAGTCAGGCAGGGGAGGAGACAATGGAGCAGCCAATCTCTCTCCTCCTCCTACCAATGCAGCACAGTGCGAATGGGGGAGAGGCTGAGCAGCTACAAAAGGAAAGGGTAGGAAACGCTATCATTCCCCTGCACACTCATATGTAATTCCCTATGTAATAGCCTTCCAGACATCCCACATCAAAGCATCAGCGGCTCGTTGGATTTTGGTCCATATGCAGTCACAGAACCAATGGAATCAAGGTTCCTGAGACTCCAGAGTTGCCATGGGACAGGTAGCGGCCTACACATTTTATAGTTCCATAAAGATTCATGAGCACAGAGGAGCTACTGTGACAACTGGGCCTACAATTTTACTCTGATCTCAACTGTAAAAAGTGAACAAAAGTTCATAAGATGTTACAATAGCCATTAACAATAATTTTGGATGGGAAAAGGTGCAAAGGGAAGACAGAAAACCAGAGTTAGCCCCAATAAAATTGCGTACTGGTTAACTCCTGGACTGTATTAAGATCATGCTTTGTAAACAAGAAGAGTGCAGACTAGAAATTAATGACCCAAAAATTGGTGCGTCAGAAATAAGGCCTAACTGGTGGACCAGTTAATGAGGAGATAGACTAGTCTTCCCATCACTCCATTTTGAGGGCCTCAAAAAGTGACTTTGGGGAAGGATGGCTACCACCAACGCTGGCTAAGAGAAGAAGGGAAGGAGCAAGATTCACCATTATGGCTGCCATTCTCACAGTCTCCTGGGAGCCTGGACCTAATCCTGAAAAATGTCCTAACCAAATCATATGAAAGACAGAGGAAGCCAATGATATTGTTATTTCCACTGAAGCTTACTAAACTCTAAACACCACTTAGGATATGACACTTGGTCCTCCATCATCCAGGTCCTCTTTTCCTTCCCTGTCTCTTTTCTTTTTAATTCTGTCTAGTCAGAATCTGGTTGTCTTGTCTTTTCCCCGAAAGGAAAGCTACAGCGATCTTTACTTCCATCTAGGACACTGCTAAACAAAGAGGATTTCTTTCTAAAAACTCTCTCCAGCTAATCTTATTTAATATTTTATATTTACAATGCTTTAACCTTTTCTCCCCCTATCCCTCTATATCTTTAATCAAAGATTTAAAAGGATAATAAATTATAAGTTTGCCATGGTACTGTGCAGGCTAAGGTCTCTGTAAACTGAACCCCAAACCTTGTTTAACATTGTTTAATGTTGGACAGTGAAAGGGTCATGTTAACACCTTTCTCTTTGGGCTCTTTATTCCCTCTAAATTAATACAACAGGATCTTTCCCCTTCAGCATTCTGCAGAGTTCAGAAAACGCTAGGTGGCAAGCCCTACCCTTCCTTTAAACGTGGTGATTAGTAGAAAACTGTGTGAGTTGAAATCTGAAAAGCTCCCAGGCCCTGCACCAAGTTTTTCCATATGGGGTATGATTTTGTCTAGGGTGTCTTATTAATCATTTCCCTTCCCACCTTATATCAACACAAAACCTCAATTAGGCTCTTAAAGAGTATATTGTTGAACTACTATAATCATATTTCTCATCCGCTGAAGACATTCAACCTTTACACTTTTCTCAAAGTGTGAGGTCACAGACCAGTAACAAACGCCCTGTTGTGCCTCATCATAAAATCCAATTTCCTGAAATTCATATCTTATATTTTGGCAGTCGTGCAAAATACTTTTTTTAAAACACTAGGAATTCAGATAAATTAGGACAGTAAAATCATTTACAGAGAGGAGTGTTAACAATGATTACTTTGCTGAGAAGCAAATTTTAAAGACTTTTCCTATAAACTGATTTATAAGTGAAGATCAGTTGAATTATACTGCTAAGCATTCTGCTCCTCACTACTCCAGAATAACAGATTATTGCAATTTTTGATTTTACACTTCTGAAGCAAAATATTTTCTGAAAAGTGTTGGGATGTTCTGTGATGACAAGTCAATTATGCCATTATTAGGAAAGCAATCTGATGAAAAGTACCGTAACCGAGACTTGCGGGAAAAGACTGGAACTTGAGGCAACTTGCATGTCTCACATTCATTTTTAATGTGAGACTCAAGTTCCCACAATAGCCTATAATGGAGAAAAATTCTTCCAGTAAATTGTTACTAGAGCCCAAAAGAAATCACACAAAATCTCATGAAAGGTACAAACTTCATGTCTTTGGTCACTGACGTATATTGCAGCAATTTTGCAACGTTTCATCTTTGGTCACAAACATAGCTGCTGTTTGAATTTTAATGGACCTTTGAAGAATATGGTTGGATTTTCTTTTTACAGGAGATAAAAGATCTGCTGATACTATATGACATGCATACCAAGACAACATTTTCATGCACTTGTTATACTCTTAGTGCAACACTCATATTTCTGAGAGCACGAAAAACCAAACAATTAATAAAAAGACATTTGATAGGAACTATAGAGACGATCGTATCCATCTTACACAATCTTTGTTTCATTAATAATTTTCTTACCTTAAGATAATCGCACATACTCAGTACTATTATGTTTATAAATCTAAAAATCTTATGTTTATAAATCTAAAAATTATCCAAGTCAGAAGTGTGTCAGAATAGCACACATAACAAAGTTTAATATTTAAAAGACCAATTTAAAAGCTGTCACTTAGTGACCTGAGGGAAGATAATACACATCACAAGCTTAATAGTCCCAAAGGAGTTGTTCCGGGTTAGTTATAAGTCACAATATTTAATACATCAGAATACTGAGAAGAAAATCTAAACAGTTCAATGCAATCCAACTTTTTCCCTGCAGCTACATGCTTTTGAAGTAGAAGCAATTTTTTTGTACCTCCTTCTCATGATCTGAAAACCAGCTGGAGTCTCTACTGGAGCCTTGAGGCAAAATATGAAAATCCACCAGAACAGCAAAGTTCCCACACTGGAAAAAAATAAAAAGGAAAGAAAGAAAAGTTAAGTAGTAGTTGTTGTGAGGCACATGTCCTGCAGACAAGGAAATAAACAATCAAGTGACCTCAGCCATCTGACTCAGAGGTACAGAAGCCTCAATCAAAGTCTGAGAGTTGTTCTACCTTTTTAAAGACGCATTTCATTTTTAGGTATGGGGTTTCCAGTTTTAACAGGCATTCCCCATATTTATAATGGAAATATGCTATAAAGAGTAAAATTTTGTTTACCGTAATATCAAATAACAGATATTGCTACTTATTAGATGTGTCAAGCATAAGTGCTCAGATGCTTGAAGAAAAATTTTGGAATGTTCTTCTACTATGGATGTGCTAGTCACAAATCCCCATTTAAGGCTGTATTGTGTTTTGCACTTAAGATGTTGAATCCCCACTTTATCTAAGAAAAAGACAACATATCCTCACCAAGTTTGCAGCACTTAGTCTATTGAATTAATTTTCTGAGAATTTGCAATTACTTTAGAGGTTTAAATTATTTTTAAAATATTTTTAAAATATCCTTAAAAATTTAGCAATTGTATCAGTGTTTTGTTTGCCCTACATTATCTTAACAGCAGAATAACATGCTCTTCAAACGTGCCATATAGTTAACATTAATTTGAATATTTTGTCTAACGTATAATTGAAGTAATTATATTATATTAGTAATGACTGTTATATCTAATTGTTAACATTGTAAAGGCTGCAGCCATGGTCATCTTACCACCTGGGTAACTTAAGTGGGACCATTGTGACATCAGAAGTTCAACCAATCACCATCCTTTCTTTACAGTTAATTTATATGCCACAATTCTAGTGGTTATAATGAAACAGTGATGTGAGGCTGGACATATGAACCAAGAATCTTCACTGGTACCCTGCTTGGCCGAATTGTCACTGCTGGGCTCCACTGTCTGCCCAGTCAACACTGGCAAAAGAATAAATTGGGGGAGCCCTTCGACTGCAAAAACATTAGGACTTAAAAAACTTGTATACAGCTATCAGTCTCACTAAAACATCTCTCTAAACCAGTAAGTCAACAGCAAGTTAAGGACCAAATTCAGTGCTACGTGTGGGCTGCTTTATGCTATTCTTATGGTGCAAATCAGCTATAAACACAACTGGTAAAGTGTGCTCGTTTTGTTTTGGCACTCTTTACCAAGCGGGATGGCAATGGCTGCAGCATCTCTTCCGAATACATTTGAACTTGATTTTTCATTCTTGAGAGGAATAATTTGAAAAGTTTATTAAAGCCACAAATTTAATACCAGGAGTTCACTGCTCACATGTAAGAGATATCCACAGGCTACTGGGCTAGAAAGGCC